GTGCGTTTTGTCAACATTGCAAAAGCATCATGACAGCACTGCCATCTGATAAACAGCATCGTTTACAACCACACAAATAACCACAGTATGCACACAGATTTTGGTATTTTTAAGAGATGTGGATGAACTTCATATTGAGTCTTTCTCTTGTGCCATGTTCAGGACAAAGGGATCAAAAGTGCACATACGAAACATCATACAGAGACTGAACACACACATAGTGATTCCTTTAAAGGAAAAGTAAAGTGCAGCATTTTAGAAGAAAATCAGCTGTTCCCCCTGTTCTCTGTCAGAAAACATAAATATGCTTAGCCTAGTGATATTTGTCCAGATATGTAATTTCTGCCTCCTGTTTTCTAGGTTCAAAGAGCACGAGGTGTTTTTTCTTCCCACCCCGGCCATCTTTTTCATTCATACACCAACAGGCCTTTAGTGGTGGGAAGCCATACTAGCATTGCCAACAGTTACATGTCCTGCTTCAGGTAATCAATGGGACTGAGGCCTAGACTGATGTAAAACTAGTTACTGTCAATCCTGCTTTTACCATTGAAAGCAACAAAATGGCAAATCTTGCAAATTCAAATTCATCGACATGCTGACATGCAGTTACACATCACGACTTCAACGGCACAGAGGATGAAGGAGGAAGCTGTGGTAGATCAAACACAAGCAGAGTGTTAGCTCAGTGTTTGACCCATCCGGGTTATGGTTAGGTTTAGGGTAGGAGTCAGGGTTAGGCATTCATCTTTGATTATTAGGGTTAGGGTAGGGAAAGCATTATGCCAGTGGGAGGTCCCCACAAAGATAGCAAACCAGACATTTGTGTGTGCCATTATGTACATAAAGTGTAACAGACCAGTTTAAAAATATCAGTGTGATGAGTGGTGTTAAAGATATTTAATAGCTAAAGCTCCGTGAATGGACTCATGGTTATGCCTCACCCTATAATAAAACTTGGAAAACCTGCTTACAATTGCAATTTGTTCTTACTCTTATTCTCATCTTATAAACCATTTTTACTTTCTGAACAGTTAAAACTGTTCAGGCTAAAACTTAGATCTTTTAAAAAGCAACATACACACACAAAAGGAAAATATCTGGATCAAAGCCTTTTCTGTAATCCAGCTCTTAGTCCCTGTTTGACCTGATTAACAGCCACGGTTGTTGAGTCACTGTGTGTGAGTACCATCCGATGACATTAGAAATACAAACATGAATGTCCAGTGACAAAAGCCACTTCCTCCACCTCCAAGGTGTGGATCAGTGGCAGTGGGTGTGTTTGTCACAGGGATTAAATGGTATTGTTTGTTATTTCAGGTTCAGCCCGGTCGTGCGCGTCGTTAGAAACTTCTCCTTCTGACTTCCCCTTCCACGGCGCTGTTTTTGATTTCATCATTATGTTGGGTACCAAGACATAACTCAGATACAGATGATACAGATGAGTAACCTGACACATGGAAAATTACCTTGTGAGAAGAGATTGCTAAAAAAAAAAGCCCACAGACACATGTCTTTGATGCGATCTGACAAGCTCTTTGGTGAAGAACCATCTGAGATAAACATGCATTATGAAAATCTAAGAGAGAAAGCCGAAAAGAAAATACTTGCAAATGGGCAAACACTGAGGAGCCGAGCTTCAGCAAACACTGAGCGGTGCCCTCCATGAGTCACTCTGGGCAGGCTCATGAAGAGTCTGAGTATATTTTCCAGGTCTAGAATAAACTAAGCAGCCTAATTTACATGTCCAGCCTGGAATCTCCAAAATATCCCTTCTATAGATAACACATGAAAGCAGGGCACACCCAGCGGTTGATACTTTGATGTCTTTGGGTCATCCCCCTTCATCACCTTCAAAGGAAAGACTCAATCAAGCGGGCAAGACCATAAGTTTTAGGGCACAGTGCAAAATTATTTTTATCCCCAACAGGATGTGAAACAGCAGCTCATATGACCCAATTCTTGCCTTCTGATGTCTTCATACTTTGTCCTTGCTACTCCATTATGTTCCTTCCCATGTAGTCCTTTCCCCCCCCAAATGTAATTGTTGTAAAAATCTGTGAATCTCATTTTCTTATAATGATGCAATCAAAGTTGTGTTTTTTGCTTTGTTATTTAAAGTGCCCCTTTTCACAATGGAAAACATGATACTGAAGGTATGTTTGTATATGTTAACTTGTACTCCAGATTCCTGTGGTTTAGTTCCATGTGGGCTAACTGATGTTCTTTTTTTCTTTGTTTTCCTTTTTTTTTTTTTTGGTGTACGTGGATTGACAGTTCAAAGTGAGCGAGGCAAAGCTTTAGCATCTGGATTACCAGAGAAATGTAAAACTGTAGCATAGGAATGGACATGGATATAGAAAAGAGAACAAAAATCACAAACAAACAGACAAAGTGAATTCGCTGCAGAAAACAGACTGGGGACAAATTGCAGAACAAGAATCAGGAAACTGAACTGACTGACTGAAGAGCTGCTGATGGATAAAAACAACAGATGTAAATAGAGTGCTGCAATTTAAAAATACAAAAAGTTTGAATTGTCTCATCCAAACTTGCAAATAAAATTGTCATTATTGGGACATTATTGGGTTTTATGGCTCGTGAAGACACAACAGTGCATCTACCAAGTTTTGTCATTAAGTTTCAGCCTACTAGTGTGTTCTTCCAAGTGCTAAATGGTAAACTTATACTTATAATTATTCATCATATATAACTTATAATGAGTGAATATGTAAATGTGCTGTGTTGGATTGACATCTAGTCATTTTTCAGGCCATTTGACTACAGTGAACTCTCTGTCTTGTTCATGAAATTAGTTAGACTATCTGGGCTTTGTGACAGAGCACATTATCCCACTGGACGCGGCCCTCAGAGGAGTACATAGTGGTAAAAAGTGGATGGACATGATCACCAATAATACTCAGACAGGTCATCACCTTTAAACGATGCTCTCCTGGTATTAAGGGGCCAAAAGTGTGCAAAGAGAATATCCTCCACACCATTAGACCATCATCTGCTTCCTTTTCTGATGACCTCAAAGCAGGATGGATCCATGGTTTCATGTTGTTTACACCCACCATCCAAATGTCACAGCAGAAACTAAAACTAACCTGGCTACATTTTTGTTTTGGTGTAGCCTCAGTTTCCTGTTCTTAGCTGGCAAGAGTGGCACCAAGTGCGGCCTTCTGCTGCTGTAGCCCATCTCCTTCAAGGTTTGACGTCTTGTGCATTCAGAGATGCTCTTCTGCATACACTGATTGTGGTGGGTGGTTGTTTGAGTTAATTTTGCTTTATTATTAGCTTGAAGCAGTCCAACCACTCACCACCAGCAGTGCATTTTCACCCAGAGAACTACCACAAACAGGATATTTTTCTCTTTATTGTCTCTAGTGCATTTTTCATGGTAATATCAATTGTTGAGTTGACCCATTTCAGCCTGGACTGAAGCCGTAAACCAGCAGACCTTTACTTCAGACATTAGTATCCACATCACATCCAGCATTAGTCTAGAGGGATGCTGGAGAACAAATTATACAACATGACTTGTAAAAGAGGATGCTGATATCATCGTGATGTGATATGTTATCAGTATGCAGCTAACAAGCGACATGGCTGCTGACAGGTACTGTAAGAGGGATGGCAGCAGGAAATAATGCAGCTCGTCTGCAGAGCAGTGTCAGCAGTACTGAAATATTTATCACTGTTTCCATTTCACATGCTCTAATTGTCCTGTATCCCTGTCTGAGAAATGGGAGGATACAAACAAAAGCTGGAAGAAAAGAAGAAAGTAGGAAAACTGTTTGCGTGAAGGCAATAAACTACTAAATGAAACTGGACTTCCCAATAGGTACGCATTTACAATTACTTACATTGTAACTACTGACTAGATTTGTCATTTATCTGATTGCTCTGATTAATTGTTGCTTTTCGCACAAGGGTCCAAAAAGCTATGTTTTGCATGACGGACTACTGGCAGCTAGGACTGTGCCTTAACCCATTATAGTCATTGATGACGTGTTAATATTGGCCCTTTTTATAAACAGTGTCAAAGGGGAGTTAGTAGGTTCTGTGTAACAAACTATCTGGTTGATGCCAGAGAGATAGTTTCCCTTTAAACATCTTACATGGTTAGATTTCAATTATTGCTCAAGTCATGTTACAACTATAACCCCATCTTTGTTGAGAGGACAAAGTAGCCAGAAGCAATATAAATATGCAGGATGGGGCTATGTCTGCTTAAATGGACTAACCATGTGTGATTAGTTTGTGTCTACTGACTTGATAGCTGTGCGCTAGCTTCTGCATAGCAATAACGGTTATCAGCCATGCTAGTATCAACTGCATCCTCATTCTAGCAATCTTGAATATACACAAGAGTTATTTTAGTTTTGTATTTTCTAGTTATTTTTATTTAATTTGAATTTTGGTTTTTATTTGGTTGGTATCAGTGAGTTTCCAGAGTCGATTTCTTGCTTAGTTTTTATTGTTTAAAAATGTTTCTGTTTTATTTTGTTTTGTTTTATAACAATTTAAGTATTATTGCATGCAATGCATATGTCAGAAGCTAAACTAACAACTAAAATGTTTTTTCACATCTAGTTTTTTCTCAGGAGGTGCACGTCGGATTTACGAGGAAGCATATGGCGCAAGGTTAAAAGGCATTTCCATTTACGTTGTAAGTCACCACGGCATTTCCTGCAGAGATTTAAATCAGGCAGTGCTCCAGCGCTAATGTTTAATAAGGTGGGCGTCGTGAAGAAGAAGAAATAAGTAATCCTAAGAGGTGGGTTGTGTTTGTAACTGCTATATATTGTTGAACCACTTGTGTGAATGCGCATGTGCAGAAATACTTCGGGGTGGTGAGGAGGGGGTGACTTTGGTTCCAGGCCCCAGAAAATCTAGTGCTGTCCCTGGGATAAAGGGGCGGGGAATGAGGAGAAAGAGAGGCAGAGAGACATAGGGACTGACTGCGAGAGAGAGGGCGGAGAATAGAGAGAGAGAGAGAGCGAGCGAGCGAGCGAGCGCAGCAGGCAGCGGTCCGGCACTTGGTCGGTATGTAGCAGCAGCAGCGGAGCTTCTGTCTGGGACTATAGCGAGAAAAAAACGCGCCTTGGGTTGAAAATATTAGTAAGGGGATTAAAATTAAAACTACCCGAGGATGAGACACACGCCGTCCGCCTGAAGGAGACTAAAACACGCCGTTATTCCGCTAATTTACCACCTTTTTTAAACGAAAATGGCGAACGACTCTCCGGCTAAAAGTCTGGTGGACATAGACCTGGCATCCCTGAGGGTGAGTGTGCTTCACAGTGACATTTCCACGCTCGCGTTTACCCTCTTTCTCCCTCTGATTTTTTTTAACAAAAAAATACAATCACACAGCGAGGCAGTGCTGTTGTTGACACAGCCCTACGGCAGCTTTTCTTTGTCTATATCCGCTGGCATGAGAAGCGAACCGGGCGCAGCCGGCTCCTGCATCGAACGAACCCGCTTGTAATTGCTACGGGGAATCAATTAATCCGCTTCTGCTGTTTGTCTTTTTCTTTTAAATCCAGGATCCTGCTGGGATTTTCGAGCTGGTGGAAGTGGTCGGAAATGGTACATATGGACAAGTCTACAAGGTTGGTCTGAGCCTCCATCTCTCTCCCTGTTTCTCTCAGTGTGTGTGTGTGTGTGTTTAAGCACCATCTGAGACCAAACTGGCGGCGGAAACTGGAGCACAAACATGCATTTATGTATTTTTTCCTCTCTCACGGTCTCAGGAACACGTTTTTATAACATTACCCCCTCCCCTCCTTCACTTGGGACCAGTGCGGTCTGGACTGGATTATCTCTGATAGCGTTTTGACCTCTCTCTCTGCTTTACATCCATTTATTTATTTTAATTATTTCATCTTAATGTTATTCAACGATGCTAACATCATCCCGGTAACGTTAGGCCTATTTTGGTCCTGAAGAGATCCCTCCTCCCTCTTCTCCTCCTCTCCTCATCCACACCCCAGTGAAATATTCCTTGCACAGTGCACGCGTTGCCTCGCACTGACAGGGCCGACCCAATCCGTGCATGACAGGCTTCACCACGCTGACCGACTTGTGCGCCATTGGGTGGGCGGTGTTTCATTGCGCATTTGTGCACACCGTTGCCCGGCAGGCCTTTCTGCTGGAGCGGCCCTGTGCTGCATTAATGGGAGGGGGGAGGAGGTAGGCCTGTTCATCCCATCACACTTAGCGGAAAAGGCATTTGACGGAGACCTGGTACTCTTGCAGCCCAGTTTTCCACCTCCATAGCCTGGCAGAGATGAGCAGCAGAGCAGCGACATCACCCTGTTGTTGTTATTTGGCAAAGCTGAGAGCACAGGGGAAAAAGGAGGAATGGGTTACAGCTGATGGATCTGCCAGAGCTTCTGTTGAGCTGGCTCCTGGAAAATAGCGTCTCACACACATGCAGCTTTGTATCATATAAAGCTTTTGCATTTCTGAATGTTGCTGTGGTTTGTTTTCAAAATATGTCACATGAATATCATGTAAAACACAAAGCAGGTAAGGCTTGGATGGCTGTGACCTGCAGTCATTTGCAACATCTGACACTTGTGTAGCACAAATTGCAAGTCAAATCTGCAATCCACTCTTATGTTCCTGAAGCTAGAAAATAGTCCCCGTATGTGTATGTTTGTGCGTTTTTTTTCCCTTCCCCCTTCTGTGATGCATTCTAGCAATGGCATTGGCCCAGCCCAAATCCTTTTGGAATAACTCCAACTGAATTTCACTGAACAACAAACACCTTGACTGAGATGTGTGGTGCACATTTTCTCTCCACCAGGTTTTTTTGTAGGATTAATTGAAACTGACTTTAGGTTTTGTCGAGCTCTTTTCACACGTGAACACACATGACATTGTCTGAAGTTGTTCTTTCTTACATGTCGCACACAGTGGGAGGAGTGCGTGCCGGTGCTGTGATTTCAGTGCTGCAAGTACACTGTTAATTTAAGTGTGCTGCCTCTCTGGTACGCGCAGGAAGCATGACTTTACTTGCTAGCTGTGAACAAACCAGTCTTATCACATGAACTGTTCTTAAATCTGCGCATCTGGACGTCACACAGATTTTAGAGTAGAGAACTAGGAGGTTATAGTCTGATGGGTGAATGTCTGGGAAAAGTTCGGGGCTGCTATGCATAAGGTAAGCTAGGCAGGGGTTTAATACAGTCAGCTAGCTTAATCAGCTCTTACTAAGCATTAAATCGTGATTTAATTTGGATGACAGAATTGTTTTTGGACAGTACACAGAGGGAGGGGGTAATTCCATCATTTAAGTATGACTGCAGCTGTCAGCCAGTGTTTTTGAACTGGATAGCGGCAAGATCTCGAATGACAAAACTAAATTTTAAGGTTTGCCTTTATTTTGGTGCCCAAAAAGACTTTAAAAAAAGAGTTACATCAGCCTCATAATATGTTTAGTACTGTTGTTATGGAGGTTGTAACATGTGCTAGAAATCGTGACATGAAGAAGATTGAAAATAGATTAAAGTTATACATAAATATGTTCTCCAATCGTAGACAGTATAAAAAATGGAGGTTGCCTCCCTATCGCAAAAATGAAGTCGGTGCGTAAGTGCCTTAAACCTGCAAGGCCCACTATATGGCGATAGCTGTGGTTGCAAAAAAGGACTTCTGGTCCTGTAGATGTCTGCGGGAAAATATCTTTTTACTTGACCTCGATAAATGTTTCTGAATTTATGGACTCAGTCACTCATTTCAAATTGAACGGAATAAGTCTATTTTATAACTCTTGGTCAAGCCTGTGTTTTAAAATTAAGGACTGCCTGCTCATTGGCTATAAGTTGTCAGTCACTAGCCACTCGGCTACTAAGATAAAGAAATGCTTATCTCAAGGCTTCAGTTGGAACCTCAGAATCTAGTGGGTGACATTATTGTAGCCACGTCCATTTTTTATACTGTCCACACCACCTAGTGGTCCTGCAACCCTGAAGTGGATAAGTAGAAAAAAAGAATGGATGGATATATGCTATGTTGTTTATCTCTAGCTGGTTAACATGCTCCATATGGTAGCAATGGTATGAGATCATGTTAAAGCCTCGATAGAGTCCATCTGGAACAGTTACTGTGGACAAAGATTTGCTTTGGCTCTGCTAATGAATACAGTCCTAAAGTGTGAATGGAGACCCATAATAAAGGTTTCTTAAGCCTGATTTTAATAAAATATAATATTCCCATATATTTATATATTGTCAATTTTCATTTATCGGCCATCATAAATGTCAATAAGGTCACATCAGCAAAAGGCTAATATCACCCAATAATATTGGCTGGGCAGTCTTAGGACGTCTTAGGACTGGCAGTCCAGTCTTATGCAAGCATATATTGTGAGCTTATGTTCGTCTGACCTCTCGTATTTACACATGTACGTTAGGCATCGGTGTTCACAGTAGAGTACAAGGTTCTACTGCATCTTTGCTTTTGGGGATTACACAAGTCACTGGCAGCACCGAGCGATTCCTCTTATTGAGAGGAGCGTCACTTTGAATTTCTAGTCGTGGATGGCGAGGCCGGCCCTGAGGCGAGCCTCTATAAATGCACGCTCGGTGTGTGCAGCGAAATTTCTCCTTGTAATTATACACAGTGGGTGTGTTTGTTTGGCTGTTTTTGTTTTTTCGGTGCTGCAAGAAAAACAAGACTGAATGAGATCTCGATTTACTTTGAATTATTATTTTTTTGTTTGTTTCTTTGTGGTTGGCGGGGAGTGGAAGGCGACGGTGGCTGTAAACGTTTCATTAGAGCAGGGGACAAGTGGTTTTGGAAATGCTCTGATGCACCGAAGCACAAATTAACCTTGACATTTTGAGTTTAGTTCCTCAGGATTCAATGAATCATAATTACGTGTGCCAACCAGGGTTTGAGTGAAGCTGAGGCTTTTTTTCCCTGTGCTTGTCTGTGCCGCCTGCCTCGCTAACATCTGACCCAAAAACCTATGTGTGTGCCTGTGTGTGTTTGGGTCTGCACATGTGCACTTGATCCTCCACACTTGGCGATTGGTCAGGTTTCCCAGGCTGGCGAGTAGCTGCAGAGCATGACAGAGTGAGGAGTGTTGCAGCTGTGTGCACCGACAACAGCTGTCGGGACAGAGAAATAAAAACAGGAGAGGGAGTAGAGCGGTTGGGGAGAGAAAGACAGAGAAGATGAAATATGCAAGAGAGAAGATTTCACCATTGAGGTACCAAAGTGTTTTAATTTGCTTGTAGAAAATAAAGACGAGGGCCTCAGTGCATCACTCACACCGCTGTGCATGCCACGTATTATATTGAACATTCCAGACGACAAGCTTGCCTCCACGCGATGGGGTTTTGAGTTTAGCGTAATGTGTAGGTTTCACTGGATTTCTTTGAAATGAAAAGCTGAAACATCTGCAAAAAACATGAAAAGAAACAAATGAATATGCAGAGGTCACAGTGTTTCTGTTTCCATTTAAACAGTGGGAGGTGAGGGAAAAGTTCAATCAAAGCTGAAGAGAGGGGCTGGAGGAAATTTTAAAACTCCGGTGTAAGGCTGCACTCAGCATGTGGGGCTGGGAATCCCCCTCTCTCTGAGGAAATGGTTTAACCCATTTATGACTTTCTGAGCTTTGAGTCTCGCTGCGCTTCTTTCCTTTACTCACTGTTTCAGGCTCACCGGCTCACTCCGTATTACAAAGTTGTAACAAAGTATCCGAGTCGAGTAAACGAATAAGCTTTTTGGCTTTACTCCCTAAAGATGAGGCTTGTTACCTCATTTGTAGAGTGAATGGAAATTTGTGAGGAAGCAGTGAAACAGCAGAAGTCATCAGCATAGTGAGGAGAAGTTGATGGCTGTGCTCTGATGGCTAGATTAGAAAAACCACAGCCCTGTTCCTGTTGTTCTGTCATGTATCCACACGATGTATATCAGAGGTTTCAGATTTATAAAAATTCTGCAATAATATGAGATTTAAAGTGGAGTAGGAGACCACACTGTGGATCATGTTCAGCTTATTATCAACATGCTAGAGGGAGCACAAAATATCAGTTGAAATAACATAATTTCCACAAATGTGGAAAGCCTGGAAATATCCAGTTTTTACATGAGCAATTAGAATTTATACTCTTTAAGGCCTTTACACACCCTTAAGTATTCATTAAAAAGTACAGATGGGCCACAAGATTAAAATGCCCGACAGGCACAGTGGGTAACTTGGCTCATCTTGTTATGGTGCCGTGTTCTGCTGGGAAACCTGGCATTCATGCAGGTGCCACCTTAAGTCATAAATCAAAAAGCAAATTAAACACCCCGCCTCAGTGTGCCTCAAAAATACTGCAAAAACTGCAGGAGGTATACACCATACAAATGGAGCAGGATACACTGGGACAAGCCTGATCCATGGAAGACCCGCCCAGCATCCCAACCTCAGAGGATCCAGTGCCCATGAGCCTGGTGTCAGCAGACAGCACAGGATGGATCACCACCACCTCGATGGGTCAGAGCTTATTTAAAGGCATTTAGGGGACCTGCACACTGTTTTTAAAAAAAAAAAGTATTTATTTATTTTTTTTATTTAAATTTTTTATTGTTGTGGCTGATCATTGGAAAATGA